ATTGTAACCTGACTGTTTAAAGCTTACTAAAGGTTCCTCCCTCTGCTTGTATTAGTCACATGAAATTGTATAATCTCATTTGCAGCCTTTGCCAGCAGAGCTGGAGTGACCTAAATTCTGTCTGATGACCCTGTTCTTCAATTTCTTGTTATATAAGGAAGCTGGTGTCACATAGGAGAGATCCTCAGGAAGGAGCCAGGGCTGATCCTCGCAAATCGCTTGAAGATCCCCAGAAAGGAGATAGCAGCTGATTCTGGGAAGGGCCCAAGGATCACCAGGAAGGAGGTAAATAACATGAAACATGCTTAACAAGGCTGCAAGCAAACCAGGAAATGACACTCTCTCTCACCAGGCCAGACTCATGGCCATGGGGTATTTGCAGTGTTTTTAGGGGGAACCCTGCTCCCATCCAGTCTGCTTCTATATCCAATATAGCAATAATGATGTTACTGTGATCCTTACTGACCCTCCCCGTCCCTGCCCAATCTCCCTCCGGAGTGAACCCCATGTGAGCCAATCTCTGCTCCACCCACCACCAAGTCCTGTGGGACAGCACTACAGGTCCATGGCCATGTCCCCAGGCCTGCTACCCCCATATACCCCAGCCATCCAATGCATTTTGTGAGAACCATAAACTTATTGGGGGTTCTGGTCTGGCTTTTAATCTAACAGGCTGGTATCCAGTTTAGGCCCTTAAAGGTTCTGGACCCATGTTGCTTATTGAAAGCAATCACTACCAGCTTCTTTTTTATAAATTGTATTAAAACTCTTAAATTAAGATTTAAAAAACAAGCAAAAAATTATCACTGAAGCTAAACTATCATTATTAGCACTAAACAAATAACTCCATCAAATCAACAAGTCATGCCTCAATATTGGATTGGACTTGTATCAACAGATTAGTACCAAAAGTAAGTTCCTAAGTAGGTAGCTGTGTTTGGTTATCGATTGTTACTAAAGAATTTGACCAAAGTCAATCAAATCTATAATTTGAATCAAGTAGCCCAATACTGAAACCAGGTCATCAGATGATCCTCAGAGCCAATAATAAAGCATCCTTCTTATTGTTTGTCTACAGAGGGAAATTACACTGGTGTAAGACAAGGTGTGAATTTAAAGTGCTGTAGTTACACCAATAGAGCTCCACATGTGGACACTTACTCCGGTATAAGAGTGTTTTTTTCTATTTAGCTAGTTATTTTGGCAGAGGTTAAAGCTAAACCAAAACCAAAATAGTCATTCTTAAACCAGAGTAAGTGTCCACATGGGGAGCTCTAATGATATAACTACAGCACGTTGAATTCACACCTTGCCGTATACTGGTATAACTTACCCACGTAGGCAAACCCTAACCCTTTTGTAATGGTATATACAAACCCCATACTGGGATGGAAGGGGTTAGGACAATACTGGGCCCAGCTAGCCCGTTAAACCTGCAGAGCATGCGCCAGTTGGAGAAAAGATTGAAAAGGGAGCAACCCCAGCTCAGAAGGCTGGAAAAGAGTACAGAGCTACCCTGAAGGCTTCTGCCAAGAGGCTAGAGACGCCTCCCTGAAGTAGCAGGACTGAACTGTGAGCTTGCTCGGGGATGATGGTTTGGTTTTCTTTTCCCCTATCTGGGACCAGAAGCAGAGAGAAGCAGTGGTAGGAAGTGACCCAGGAAGGGTAACTCAGAGGGTCCCTGTGACACTCTCTATCTCAGGGGAATACCCTGCGCCCCCATGTTCATCCTTATAATACGATTGTGTGGTATCCAGTGCAAGGTTTGTCATGTCGGGTGTCTTTGGAAGGCTCATGATGCACTGAGCATTGTTGTTACAGTAATGTTACAGGTTGTAATTTCATGTATATCGTTATGAAGTTGAAAATGTGTTCTCATGGCTTAAAGCAAGCCCAGGAAAAACTCTCCATGCACACCGACAGCCACGCTTTCAGAGCCGGACAAAAAGGAAATTAAAAGACTGGGATGTCTCACAGCTAACAGAAATTTAAACATAAGAACGGCCAGACTGGGTCAGACAAATGGTCCAATCTAGCCCAGTATCCTATCTTCCGACAAAGGCTCGGGCCAGATGCTTCAGAGAGAATGAATGGATCAGGGCAATTTTTTTAGTGATCCACCCGTCGTCCAGTCCCAGCTTCTGGCAGTCAGAGGTTTAGGGATACCCAGAGCATGGGTTTGCATCCCTGCCCATCTTGGCTAATAGCCACTGATGGACCTATCCTCCAAGAACATATCCAATTCTTTTTTTGAACTCACTTATACTTTTGGCCTTAAGGACATCCCCTGGCAATGAGTTCCACAGGTTGACTGTGCATGGTGTGAAGTACTTCCTTCTGTTTCCTTCAAACCTTCTGCCTGTTAATTTCATTGGGTGACTCCCTAGTTCTTGTGTTATGTGAAGGGGTAAACAATACTTCCCTATTCACTTTCTCCAAACCATTCATGATTTTATAGACGTCTATCATATCCCATCTTAGTCATCTCTTTTTCAAGATGAACAGTCCTATTCTTATTAATCTGTCCTCATACAGAAGCTGTTCCATACCCCTAATCATTTATGTTGCCCTTTTCTGAACTTTTTCCAATTCTAATACATCTTTTTTTTGAGATGGAGCGACCAGAATTGCACACAGCATTCAAGGTGTGGACATACCCTGGATTTATAGAGGGGCATTTACTGTCTTATTATCTATCCTTTTGCTAATGGTTCCTAACATTGTTAGCTTTTTTTGACTACTGCTGCAAATTGAGCAGATGTTTTCAGAGAACTATCCACGATGACTCCAAAATCTTTCTTGAGTGGTAACAGCTAATTTAAACTGACGGTGGATTTGCACACTATTCATCTCTTGCAGCCTTCTGGACCTTGTAGGATAGGAGTTGGAACTACAGACAAGGAGCCAGACAGTGATGGTTCAGCACTTCTTTCTAGAGGACCTTCAGATGCAGAGAGACTGGATCAAACTTTGGAATGGCCCGTTTGCTGATTTAGTGACTTCCTCTCCACAAGGTGATCAGTCTTGGAGATTCTGGAACATCACTCTGCCCTCAGATGACTTGTTGACCTGAGAGGAGAGGCTTCTCGGCCTTACTCTTGATTTGCCAATTTGCTTGCTCCACCTTGCAGCAATTCCCTCCAAGGTCTTTGCATAAGTCAGGTGCAAGGCTTACCTTCGAGCCACAGAGTTGAGTTCAACTGAGTTTGAATTACATCATTGTTAGCAAGTGTCAACCAGTTGAAATCCTGCTTAAGATAGCAATTTTTAAAATATTAAGTATTTGCCATATCATAGAGGCTATTGGTCTGTGATCCCCTCGCCTGCAAAAAACTATTTATATAATCCAGATACTTTTGAGGAAACCGGCTTGATCTTAACTGGGTAAAATGTCTTAGAGAAACATGTCACCAGTTCATTGAAAATTCAGTATAAAACCCCTATAAAAATAACTAATGGGAAAAACCCTAAGGATATATCCACACTGCAGTAAAACACCCGTGGTTGGCTTGGGTCAGCTGACTCAGGCTCACGAGGCTCAGACTATGGGGCTGAAAATTGCAGTGTTGATGTTCAGGCTTGGGTTGGAGCCTGGTCCCTGAGACCCCATGGGGGAGGGGACAACAAAGCCAATGGCTCCAACATTCATTCATCAGCAAAATAAAAATAAATTCAGAACTTATTACAGATTTCGTCATCTCCACTGTAAATCTGAACCTAGGAATGGTCTTATTCCTCTTGCAAACAAGGAATTCTAGTAACCTTCCTCTTTTGGAACTGGGCTATGGGTCAGGCAGCTTATCTTCTGAAATCTAAATCTTGATAAAGAAAGGTTAGGACTCATCAAAATGAAACCCACTGACAATATACAATCGTAAGCATTGTGTAAGGTCTGCATGGCCCATGTCAACTTTTCTCCTCTTATTTTCCATCTGTCTTTAAAAGAGGAAAAAGCGTGTGCTGATCTCAGTGTCACTCCCTGCCCGCAACAATTCCCCCTCAACAATCAAACACCCAGGAGCTGATTCCCACCCTCAGACTCCATGGCCCCACCCCAGTTCTCTTACCTCCCCCAGCCCCAGGATCATCATCCACCATGGAATAGTCCTGACAGACTCCAGCAGTGTCATTCCCTGCATCCCCCCCACTCCAAGAGTCCCCCATAGCTTCCCCACCCCAGGAGTTCCCCCATAGCTCCCCCCAGTCCATCCCTCCCCCCACCAGGGGTCCCCCATAGCTCCACCCACCCCAGGAGTCCCCCCCCATAGCTCCCCCCAGTCCCTCCCCGGGATTCCCCCACAGCTCCCCCAACCCCCCCAAGGAGTCCCCCATAGCTCCCCCCAGTCCCTCCCCGGGATTCCCCCATAGCTCCCCCAACCCCCCCAAGGAGTCCCCCCCCATAGCTCCCCCCAGTCCCTCCCCGGGATTCCCCCATAGCTCCCCCAACCCCCCCAAGGAGTCCCCCATAGCTCCCCCCAGTCCCTCCCCCGGGATTCCCCCATAGCTCCCCCAACCCCCCCCCCCGGGAGTCCCCCATAGCTCCCCCCAGTCCCTCCCCGGGATTCCCCCATAGCTCCCCCAACCCCCCCCCAGGAGTCCCCCCATAGCTCCCCCAGTCCCTCCCCCGGGATTCCCCCATAGCTCACCCTTCTCCCCCCACCCCAAGAGTCCCCCATAGCTCCCCCAGTCCCTCCCCCCGGTATTCCCCCATAGCTCCCCCAACCCCCCCCCCAGGAGTCCCCCCATCGCTCCCCCAGTCCCTCCCCCGGGATTCCCCCATAGCTCACCCTTCTCCCCCCACCCCAAGAGTCCCCCATAGCTCCCCCCAGTCCCTCCTCGGGATTCCCCCATAGCTTCCCCCAACCCCCCCCCCCAGGAGTCCCCCTTAGCTCCCCCCAGTCCCTCCCCCCGCCGGGGGTCCCCCATCGCCCCTGTCACGCCCAGGCTCGCCGGGCAGCACGGACCGTGGCGGCCTCCCAGGGGCGGCGCCGCCGGCGGAAGCAGGAAGCGAGGCCGGCTCTGCTGGAGACGCCGGGGCCGTGGAGCGAGGCAGGTAACAAGCCCCCCCTCCCCCCGAAGAACAATGGGCTCTCCCTACCCCTCCTCCCAGTGAGCGTGGGACATTCCGAACCCCCCCCCCGCCTCCAAGGGGACCACGTGGTCGCCGCCGCTCCACCACGCCCCTCCACGAAACAGCTGGGACTCTCCGCTCAGTGGCCGTGGGGAATTCCTCCTGCCCCCAGCGGTGGGGTCCTCACCCCCCAGGGGTGGCAAGGGGGCCTCCTGCCCTGCCCCCCCCCCAGCAGCGAGATCCCCCCAGGGGTGGCAAGGGGGCCTCCTGCCCTGCCCCCCCCCCAGCAGCGAGATCCCCCCAGGGGTGGCAAGGGGGGCCTCCTGCCCTGTCCCCCCCAAGCAGTGAGATCCCCCCAGGGGTGGCAAGGGGGGCCTCCTGCCCTGTCCCCCCCAAGCAGTGAGATCCCCCCAGGGGTGGCAAGGGGGCCTCCTGCCCTCTCCCCCCCAAGCAGCGAGATCCCCCCAGGGGTGGCAAGGGGGTCTCCTGCCCTGTCCCCCCCCAAGCAGCGAGATCCCCCCAGCGGTGGCAATGGGGCCTCCTGCCCTGTCTCCCCCAGCAGTGAGCTCCCCAGCGGTGGCAAGGGGGCCTCCTGTCCTTTCCCCCCCCAAGCAGCGAGATCCCCCCAGGGGTGGCAATGGGGCCTCCTGCCCTGTCCCCCCTGCCCTGTCCCCCCCAGCAGTGAGCTCCCCCAGCGGTGGCAAGGGGGCCTCCTGCCCTGTCCCCCCTCAAGCAGTGAGATGGCTCCCGGCACAGGACCAATGGTGCTGGGCACTGCCCATACAGAGAAAGACACACAATCCCTCCTCTCCTTCTATCACACGCACGCACAAACACTAGGATCCCCCGGCCCTTTGCCCCTCCATGGATAGTGGAGCAGGAGCCTCCCTTAAGTGGTAGTGAGAGATGGGTCCTCCAGGCCTCCCCTCCCCCAGCTGTGATATGAGGATCCTACTAACCCCTATCCCAATACTGAAATCCTCTGTGAGGGTGGGGCAGCCCCTCCTCTCTTAGAAGTGACAGTCCCACTCCCAGAGTGGCATCCTCCTGAATGTGCCCTGAATGTGCATTCCTGGACCTGCAACTGGTCTGCTGGGTGACCTTGGGCAAATCACTTTCCCTCTCTGTACCTCGTTTTCCCTTCTGTAAAATGGGGATAATGGTATAAAGTGATTTGAGATCTGCAGATAAAAAGTGATAGATAAAAACTAGCTATTAGTTTTGGAATGAAAAGCTGAAAATTTCCACGAAACAACGATTCTGGCAAAACGTGTTTTGATAGTGTCAAAACATCAGTTCCTACAGTATCAAGCCATTTCATTGTGATTTGTTTTGTTTAGATGTTTATATTAAAACACTAAATATAATATATGCACATAATATTAATTATATATAATTATGTTTAATGTTTTATATTATATTAAAAGTCTAAAGGAAATGAATCCAAAGTAAACATTTTGACTTTACCCCATAGAATAATTTCATCCAAGTTGACATGTGCCCATGAAATGTTTCCATTTCAACAAAACTGCATTTTTCGAAGGGAAACTGTCCTATCAAAAAGTTTGCACCAGATCTAGTTATTACTATTGCTGAAGGCTGGGCGCTATGCCAGAGTGGAGGGGGAAGACGGGAAAGAGTTTCGTCTGATTTTGATTCTCTGCTGATTTGTAATGAAGGGAGATATGTTGCTTTGTGGGAGACTGGTGCATTTTATGTGGGGAAGTGTGTAATGGGAAATAGGAGGGGAGGAATGTGTGTTTTGGTGGTGGTGGGGGGGGTTCATTACATCTGTAAGAACAAATGTGCCTATCTGATGCTCTGTTCCAGCTATTTGATATTACTTTTGTTGTAACACTTCCCCAAGAACCTCGCTGTCTCTGCTGTGCCCGTGTAGCAAGGTGTCATATATTAATCTAGAGCCTGCCCAGTGTAATTGCGGAAAGCTTCTGGCAGTGCTAATGTGCTGTGTGTATTGATCAGTTCTCTTACAGTTCTGTCAACTGTTCAAAGTTCGGTTTTAGCTGTTAATGGGCTTCCCTCTTTAATGGGGATTTGGAAATCCCTCCACTTCAGGAATTCCCTCTTTTACAGATCTCCAGTAAATGCCCAACATGCCTCACCGGACCATTCATCTCTTCCGGAAGGGACTTCGGCTCCATGACAACCCAACTCTGCTGGCCGCACTGGAGTCCTCGGAGGTTGTGTATCCAGTCTACATTCTGGATAGAAAGTTCCTGATGTCTGCAATGAATATGGGAACTCTGCGCTGGCATTTCCTGCTGCAGTCTCTCGAGGATCTGCAGAGGAACCTAACTAAACTGGGCTCTTGCTTACTGGTTATTCAAGGAGAGTATGAGTCGGTTCTTCAAGACCATGTTAAAATGTGGAACATTACCCAGGTGACTCTAGATGCTGAGATTGAACCATTTTACAAAGAGATGGAGAGGACCATACAAGTTCTGGGGGGAGAGATGGGATTTGATGTGCTTTCTTTGATGGGCCACACTCTGTATGACATCAGACGGTACGTAACTGCCACAGGGCAACGATCTTTTGTTTATGTTTAGCTTTAACAAATATCGGTGGGAAATGCCTAGTGATTCTGATTCTTGTAGATTCTAATGTTTGAGCTTTTAGAGGGTTGAGCTTCCTGGGGTGAATGTAACATTGTGTGCCCGTCAATAAAGAGCAGAGGAGGGAATGCACATGAATTGGAATTGGGGCTGTGACTTGGTTTGCTAGTTATAATGTAAATGTTTTATTAATATGCACCCTTTGGCTATTGGGTTTAGTTCAATCCTTTATATAATCTACTCTTTAAAAAACAAAATCTAAATCGGCAGGGAAGGGTGCAATTATGGTTTTTTTACCCATTTCATCTGATTATATCAGTGTTTATTTTCAAGCATGAGGGATTTTCTAATCAGCTTAACTTTTCGCCCACAAAAGAAATGAAAATGCGAACACCACCAATCAGATACTGTTTGCGGTTTATTCAAAACTGAATGGCTGCAGATACAAGAGATTCATTACGAATTTTGGAGATCAAATCGTGTTTTGCATTATTAATTAATAAACCCCTGATCCTGTAGACACTTGCGCATGTGAGCAAATCTGTATATGTGAAGCGCCCTGTTGAATTCAAAGGGGTATTTGCATGTATAAACATATTTGTGTGGATAAGTCTTTACAGGATTGGGGCCTCAGTAATTGATTGCTGGACAGAAGTGACAGCAAAGGAGGGCACCATCAACATTTTAACTTCCCCTGTCTGCATGTTTTGAGGATTGCTAGTAGATAGGTTAATTCAATTGTTTTGGGCTAGAGGATTAAATTTATGATTGCTCGTGGTTGCTATGGAGAGATGGAAATCTCTCATGTTCTGAAACTACATCTTGTTCTCCATGGGGAGAATTCCCTGTGGCAGTAGAGAGGCCCATTTTAGTCACTGGCACTCCATCTGGGTGCTGGGCTCTGCCCCCACAAAGCAAATTGCATGATTGAGGCCTTGAGTGGTCACTATCTTCCATCATAAGGCTGATTTCTCCTCCACTCCTCTACATCCCACATCCCACAAAAAGGGTTGTGTGGCCTTTCGTTCTTGCAGGTGTCATCTGTGGCCAGGAGAATTCCATTTTGTTTTAAATTTCTTGCTAGTGCAAAGATTTTAAGTGGATTTGAAAATAAAAAACATTTTGGAAACCAACATGGGTAACCAAGTCTTTCCAGTTCTGTTCATATTGTGTTTTAAAAATTGTAAAACTTGCAACCCTGCAAGTGGATTGGTCCAAGTGGACCTGGACACTTGCACAGAATTCCACTGAAGTCAGTGGGGCTTTGCATGAACGCACCGGACTGTGACATCTGTACCGGTAACCTCATTACAGGGATGTTCCATCTCTGTGCTATAGCCAGTTTATTCATCAGCTCTGCCTGCATGACTGACACCTGCCACTTCCATTTTCTACTTGGTTTATATTCATACTACAAGTGCTCTTGTCTTGTCTTGTTCAGGATTTTGGACATGAATGGTGGGACTCCCCCCTTGACATACAAAAGATTTCTTCATATTCTCTCTGTACTCGGGGACCCTGACATGCCTGTACGAAACCTTACAGCTGAGGATTTCCAGTAAGTAATTTTCATACAGCAAAAATAGACAACCCAGTAAAGAGCTCTTTCTCTCTTGTCATCACAAGGGAAGGATTTGGCCAGTTTAAATGACACTATCGCAGGGGTGGGCAAACATTTTGGCCTGAGGGCCACATCGGGTTTCGAAAATTGTATGGAGAGCTGGTTAGGGGATGGGGGCATGGCCCGCCACCCCCATCCGCCCCCCCTTCTCGCCCCCTGACCGCGCCCCTCTGGGACTCCTGCCCCATCCAACCCCCCCCCCGTTCCCTGATGCCCCCCCCCAGGACCCCTGCCCCATCCAACCACCCCTTCTCTCTGTACCCTGACTGCTCCTGGAACCCCCGCCCCTGACTGCCCCCCCCCCGCCGTCCCATCCAACCTCCCCCTTTCCTTCCTTACTGCTGCCCCTGGACCCCTGTTCCATCCAACCACCCCTTCTCCCTGTCCCCTGACTGCCCTGGAACCCCTGCCCCTGACTGCCCCCCGCCGGCCCATCCAACCCCCCCTCCTTCCTGACTGCCCCCCCAGGTCCCCTGCCCCCATTCAACTCCCCTGTTCCCTGCCCTCTGACCGCCCCGACCCCTATCCACCCCCGACCACCACCCCAAACTCCCCTTCCCTCTATCCAACCCGCCCTGCTCCCTGCCCCCTTACCGCGCCAGGTCAGGCCGGGCTCTGCAGCTGCACTGCCCCAGGAGCTCGCAGCCCCCCCCCCCCCCCCCCCCCCAAGCACTGTGCTGGCAGCACAGTGAGCCGAGGCTACAGGGAAGGGGGAGCAGCGGGGGAGGGGCTGGGGGTGAGCCTCCCGGGCCAGGGGCTCAGGGGCCGGACAGGAGGGTCCCGTAGGCCGGATGTGGCCCACAGGCCATAGTTTGCCCACCTCTGCGCTATTAGATGATATATTGCATTATTTGAACATGTAATTAAATAACAGGTTGTATGTATAAAGAATGTGCAGCTGTGGCTAAGAGGGCTAAAATAATAATAATAATTAATACTGCATTATTATTTTTATTTATTATTTATTTTATAGCACCTAGGAGACCAAGTTATGGACCGGGTCCCCATTGTGCTAGGCACTGGGCAAACACAGAACAAAAAGACTGTGATACTTGGATGTGTAAGCAAGGGAATATCGGTGGCATTACCTCTGTATGTGACATTGGTGAGACCATTATTGGGATACTGTGTCCACTTCTGGTGTCCATACTTTAAAAAGGATGTTGAAATAATTGAAGGGGTTCAGGGAAGAGCTACAAGCTTAATTTGAGGTCTGGAAAACCTGCACTGCAGTGAGACATTAATGAAGCACAAGCTATTTCGTTCATCCAAGAGAAGACAGTGACTTGGTCATGGTCTATAAAGACCTACTTCAGGAGCTGTCTTCTATTAGCAGAACACTCTTTCATCTAGCAGACAGAGGCATGACATGAGTCAATGGCTGGAAGTTGAAGCTAGACATAATCAAATAGATTTTTACAAGTGAAGGTAATTAACCACTGGATCAACTCTATTCTATATAAGTCTTATGTCATGCGTCTCATCATAATATCTCAGCACCATCCCGCAGTGCATTAAGCAGTGACAATCATCCGTCGGGTGTTGCTTGGTCTCTCATTCTCTCCCCCAGGGAAAAGCATATGCAGTAGAATATCTTGTTTAATAGATATTTTTTAAAAAAAATACATGTTACTATGTGCTTGTTAGAGAAGGCAAGGTCTCTTGGAGTGGAAGGTGATATGGTTGGTGATGGGCCTTAGTTCCTGGGGGAGTTCATTCCACTGTCTCAGTCTGACCTCCAAGGAAGTTCTGTCTCCTACTCAGACAAGCCTTACCCTTACAGTAGATAGTTCCATTGGACTAGAGGAGTGGATTTGTTGACCACAGTCTACATCCTGGAGCTTTAGGCTCTTTTTGATACTGTGGGCCATGCCATGGAGTGCCTCGAAGATAAGGACTGAGACCTTGAACTGGATTCAACATTCTATGGCAAGCTAGTATAGGGAACAGAGGATGGGTGTCATATATTCCAGGTAGCCTGTGATGCTAAGGAGACACTTAGCCGTGTTCTGGACTAATTCTGTTTTTTAAGTGCTGAAGCTCATGCCCAGGTGTGTTGCATTGCTGTAGTCCAACTGAGAAGTGACAAAGTCTTGAATACAAGCCAGGTTATCATCACCAGGATGGGACGGAGTCTCCTAATCAATTGGACAGTATAGAAAGCATTACTTGTGAGTGCTGCTGTCTGAGAGCCTAGCGTCACTAAGGAGTCCAAGAGTACTCCTGACTGTGAACTGAACTGACCAACTGTGGGTGTGAACCTTCAACCAAATTCTTCAAAATGCTCTGCCCACCAGCATCACCTCTGTCTTGCTCGGGTTCAGCTTCCGCCAGCTACACTTCATCTATGAGCTGATTTCATCCAAGCACTGGGCCATCTTGGTGGTAGTCGTGTGGTCATATGTGGTGAAGGATGGATAGAACTGTGTGTCACCATCATATTGCTGGCAGCTGAGTCCATGTTTTCTGACCAGTTCACCTAGTGGCTGCATGTCAGTGTGGTAAAGTCCTGGAGAGAGAATTGATATCTGTGGCATTCCACAGGTGAGAGGTCTAATAGTGGAGGTTTAGTTTCCCATCACTTCTTGTTGGGTGCATCCCTCCAGGAAGTACTGAAACCATTTTAGTGTACTGCCCTGTTTCCCTGCCACCTCTCTCAGGTGAGACAGTGGTGCCCAATGGTTGACAGTGTTGAATGCTGCAGAGAGGTCCAGGAGGATGAAAATGGATGTTTGTCCTTCATCGATTGACATAAGGAGATCATCCATCTGTGCCACTAAAGCAGTTTCAGTCCCCTCTCTGGGCCTGAATCCAAATGCTGCCAGGTCTAGATTATTGGATTCAGTTAGATGAGCTTGTAGTTTGCATTTAGCTAACTTTTCTGTGAGCTTGCTTAGGAATGGGAAGTTTGACCCTGGATAGTAGTTGGCACCACCTGATGTAAGTAGCGTGGGTTTCTTGAGCGTTGGTGGGTCTGTTGTGCATTTGAAGGAGGAAGGGAATGACTGACTAAGGGATGTGGTGGAATCTCCATCACCTGGAATCTTTGGCTGTCTCTTTCTAAAAGCTAACCCAGAAATCACAGGGTTAATGCAGGAATCACTTGGTGAAAATCTGTGGCCTGGGTTTTGCCAGGGGTTCTACTACATGGTCACAGTGGCCCCTTTGGGATCTAAACTCTATTCATTTAATGCACAAGGGGCCAGGATTAAGATTACAAGGGCATTTACTTCATCAGACCTTGCTGATGTAGCAGACGAGAGTACATTGTGTGCGTGTGTGTTTTCTCTCATGCATGCAGATATTACTGAGGGAAGCTGAGTCAAAGAGATACATTTTTTTATTTTGGTCTGAAAGCAGTGAAGTTAGTGATCCAGAGGGGAGTTGCACCAGGGCAGGAAAGATGGTGTAGTAGACAGAGCACTGGGCTGGAATTTCTCAGCCACAGACTTCCTGTGTAACCACAAGCCAGTCACTTAATCTACCCTGTGCTTGAGCTCCCATCTGTAACATGGCCCTCACAGGGGTGTGGCAAGGATAGAATTGATTGATTATGGTGAGACTCCCACTTAGTCCTGCCATGAGTGCGGGGGACTGGACTAGATGACTTTTCGAGGTCCCTTCCAGTCCTATGATTCTGTGATTACAGTGGTGAGAGCTGTGTAGGTGGATAGATAGACTGACTTATGGGTTCTCTTACACTCTGTTTACTTTTCCTTATTGTTTTAATTCCTGGTTATCTTTTTAAATACATGATGAAAGCTAAAGAGGCTCATGCTTGCTTAGTGCTGTGTTCCTTGAAGGGCTCACATTACACCAGTGCTCCGAGCTCTGCACTGCCTTCCAGTTCCTTTCCAGGTGCCACTGAAACATGGCTGCGCCCATGTTTCAGGGTGAGTAAAAAGGCCTTTTGTAACCTAACTCTCTTTTTGATGTGGGTGCTGGATGACTCAGGGCCCCTGACTGACCCTCTTCTTTTCCTTCCTATTTGAAGGGAGACACCCCACTCCGCTGCACATCCATCATCACAGGGGTTGGGGCCAGCCCCAGCAGCAGAAATGTGGGGTTGCTCAAGGGGCCACTGCCCAGGGAGACCAGGAGCACCCTTAAGGGCAGGCGCAGAGGGGAACCTCCTGATGGATTAGCAAGGGACAGATGTGGAGGACAGTTGAAAGGAGCGACTTTGCCTCCTGCCCCTGATAAAACCTATTACAGCCTAGGGAGGCCGATTTCCAGAGGTGGGAGGGACAGGAACAGGGGGCTTGGAACCTGTCCTAAGAAGCTACAAGCCTGAGGATGGAGGGGAGGAGGCTCTCCCTCCCAGTCTCCAAGACTAGGAGAAGACAGCTGGGGAGGAGGGGCTGGAAGGAAAGCACCTTGGCCCTCCCTGCCACAAACACAGCAGACTGGGAGTGAAACGGTGTGCCGTGCAAGGAATGTGCGGCAGGGAGCTCAGCAGGCCAGTTGCTGGACCCAGACCTGAGCGCTGCCCTCCTGTCTCCCTCTCTGCACTCTGGTCCCAGTGGCAATGATCTGTCCATGTCCCCACCCTTGCCACCACTACAGGTTGGGGTGAGCACATCCCCTGCTCAGACACATCCTATTGCTCACCCTGGCTTTCCCAGATCTAGTGTCACCCCACAGTGGGTCTCCCTGTGTCCTTGTTTGGACTTATTCATCATGGAAGGGTCTGCTCAGAGGTACAGCCATGGGAGGTGAGGGAAGCATGTCCCCCGACTTTTCACTATGCTGCTGCTGACTCTTTTAGTGGCTGCAGGAGTAGCTCATTCCATCTCCTGATCACAACTCCCCGCTAACGTTTTTCAAGGAGGCTGCCGACGGGGACTCCTGACTATATTACACCTCTTGCTCTGCTTATTGCTCTGGTGGCATTGCCCTGTACCATGATGTCAAGGTTCCTCCCCCACTCTGAACTCTAGGGTACAGATGTGGGGACCTGCATGAAAACCTCCTAAGCTTACTTTCACCATCTTAGTTTAAAACTTCCCCAGGGTACAAATTAATTTTATCCTTTGTCCCTGGATCTCCACTGCCACCACCAAACTCTAACTGGATTTATTGGGAAATGTAGTTTGGACATGTCTTTCCCCCCAAAATCCTCCCAACCCTTGCACACCACTTCCTGGGGAAGGTTTGGTAAAAATCCTCACCAATTTGCATAGGTGACCACAGACCCAAACCCTTGGATCTGAGAACAATGAAAAAGCATTCAGTTTTCTTACAAGAAGACTTTTAATAGAAGTAAAGAAATCACCTCTGTAAAATCAGGATGGTAGATACCTTACAGGGTAATTAGATTCAAAACATAGAAAATCCCTCTAGGCAAAACCTTAAGTTACAAAAAAGACACACAGACAGGAATAGTCATTCTATTCAGCACAGTTCTTTTCTCAGCCATTTAAAGAAATCATAATCTAACACATACCTAGCTAGATTACTTACTAAATTCTAAGACTCCATTCCTGGTCTATCCCCGGCAAAAGCATCACACAGACAGACACAGACCCTTTGTTTCTCTCCCTCCTCCCAGCTTTTGAAAGTATCTTGTCTCCTCATTGGTCATTTTGGTCAGGTGCCAGCAAGGTTACCTTTAGCTTCTTAACCCTTTACAGGTGAGAGGATTTTTCCTCTGGCCAGGAGGGATTTTAAAGGAGTTTATATATTTATGACACATGACTGAAGAGGAGACAGGAGTGATCTCCTTGGCACGCCGGATGGGAAGTGCTCTTCCTCCCTCCTCTTCGCCATGGTCTCTCTTTGAAAGAAGCCTCTCTTTTAAATTAGGAGATGTAAGCCTCCTCCTGAGCTGTGCCTGGCTGAAGATTACAGGGTGCCCCTCCCCGAGGATTTGGAAATCCCCCCGAGAGAGTCAGTCCCCCTGGAGAGGGGGAGAAACTGAAGGGCTACAGCGACTAGAACAACACTTGAAAAATCAGGTGAGTCTTGCTTTCCATGTACCCGTTCCTTCTCCTCTTGCTCTGGACGCTGGCTAATAGCTCCAAACTGACCCAGGTGATTATGGCCCTTAGCCCTGCTGCAGATGGCTGGGTCTGAGCCCAGCAGGCAGAGAGGCTGGCCAGAAAGGATCACTCAGCACCAAAGCACCTTGCTTCATCCCAACTCTTGGCTCCTGGAAGGGCTGACATCTATTGGCATAGGTGTCTCCAAGCAAACAACTCACGTCCTCCTGGCATTTCAGAAGCCACCCACCAGGCTAAGTGGAAAAGATGTGTAGTTTGGTACAGTCACACCCAAGTGGACCCTCTTATAAATTCAGGTTTCAGAGAAACAGCCGTGTTAGTCTGTATTCGCAAAAAGAACAGGAGGACTTGTGGCACCTTAGAGACTAACCAATTTATTTGAGCATGAGCTTTCGTGAGCTACAGCTCACTTCATCAGTATGCATCCGATCTGATGAAGTGAGCTGTAGCTCACGAAAGCTCATGCTCAAATAAATTGGTTAGTCTCTAAGGTGCCACAAGTCCTCCTTTTCTTTTTATAAATTCAGAATACTCTTCTGACAAGACCTGTCAGCTTTTTTGGGGAACCTGATGTTTGGAGGGCCCATAGAGTAGAAGCAGCCTGGTCTCTGGACTCACACAGAAGGTTGATGTATTTGGAGAACTAAGTATTCCAGATGGGGCTTCCTTTGCCTTTGGTACTTGATTTAACAATGGCCATTCTACCTCGGATGTCGTTGTTGCCTTTGGATTGTGGTGCACAGAGAAGCTTGGGAGGAATGAGCTGGGGCAGCAGCTGGAATGCAGTGTCTTTATCCCGGTTCCCCTTGGATGCAGGTCAGTTTAGGAGATGCATTTATAAGCCAGGGTGGTATGGCTCTTCATGTGCCATGAACTCTAAGCAAGGCTTCATGGGGCCTGCTGCAAACTAGCCCCGTGTTCCGTGAGAATGACCCCGGGGCTCCGTAATACTGCAGTGTGACAAACAGGAAATTCTGCTGCAGCTTCAGAGAAATTCAAAACTGGAGGTGTTGTTACTGAAAGAAATGAGAAAATATACAGTGCAAGCAACCAGCTCTCCCTTGAGTTATTTATTGTTATATTAAATTCAGCTTATTTCATACCACCTCCAGACTGTCACTTTAAGGTGCCATGGGATTGTGTGTTGAGAACACATGATTGCATTGCAGCAGTTGTCATGGGGAAAACTGGAGATTGTTGGTAGCTGGGTAGGAGGCAGTAGGGGTTTTTGGTCCTTGAGGAGCCAGCCAGGCTCTTTAGGATGGTAGGAAAAGCTCATTAGCTGGCCATTTTTGCTCAAAATAAATCATCAGCAAAATAGTTGATAATGTCATTAGTGATCAAAATTAGGTTTCAGAGTTAACACCCAATTAACAAATGGCATCGTTCACCCCTCGCTTAGAGCAATTACCCTAGACTGTGGAATTATTCCACTTATCCCACTGTTCCTGGAAGACATCTCTGCCTTAGTTTGTTTTCAGTTCATATTTTGAAGGTTTGCTTTGCAACTTTAAGGGCCAGGTCATATATAAATGGAAGTTTAGAGTCTAGAGCACAGTCCGCAGCCAGTTCCATAGCCACAAGTATGACGCTTCCCGGGGGTACCCCGGGTTGTGAGGCACCTTGCTACCACCTCTCCTTAGCATTAGGACATCTTGTCTATGCCTGCCAGGGGTCAGCTCTCCAACTCCACTAGCCAGCACAAGCACTCCTCTCTAGGCCTATGCAAGCCCCGCTGTCTCTCTATACTCTATAGGTTAGCGACAGGCACACTCCAACCCCCGAGCCCTCTGAGCATCTCCCTGGAGGGTTCAGCCCCCTTTCCACTGAACACGCACTGTATTCACAGATTCACTGCTCCCAAAGGAACAGTACCCTCCTGTTTACCAAAAATGCCTCAGATCACAGCTCCCCTTAGCACACAGCCCTTAGACAGGTTTACAGTGAGAACAAGCAAAACTATATTTAACCCAAAATAGAGATTTGAGAAGTAGCAAGTAAAAGTATTGGAAACAAATGGTTACATGTAAAATACGATCATAACACGTATCCTAGAGCCTAGACTTAAATTAACAAGATGCTTTCCTGTCCAACAAAGTTTAGCTCACTCAAAGTCCCTTTGTCGTTTTCCAGCCAGGTTGGCTGTGACCTTCCTTTCATAGGACAGAACACACTGAGAGTTCATCTTCTTGGCGGAAGGGGGAAGCATGTCTCTAAACCCCCAACAACCCATTGTCTTTATTTATAAACAGGATTCCCTCCCCTTCCCACCCCCCCAGTTGTTTCTTCCTATGTGCTCCTTTCTTGTTGACTTTACAGTCTCTTGATTAGCATTCAGCTCAGACTGTAGATGGGCCTCCATTGTGTAGCAGAACGTATACAATACACACATGACCTCCCAGAGAGAGATGAGGGTCTCTTTCCTCCTGCCTAACAGAAGCATGTTTATCACCTTCTGGTGACTTGCCTTAACTCATAAAGATGAGCCTGGGAGCTTAAATTCCTAACTGTGCTAGACACTAAAAATCATGGACTCGGTAGAGATACTGGTTTTATGTCTCGTAACAACACTCTGTAACCCACTAGCTCTCCTTTGTCCTATGCCTGCAGAGATGTTAATTTCCCACTATATCTTGAATAGGCTTTTGTAACTTGTGTTAAGTCCTTATGCTTAACAATATGTCCCGCCTTGCAGTTAACTGTGACACTCAGATTGCCTTTCTAGATCTGAAGAAGAGCTCTGTGGAGCCTGAAAGCTTGTGTCAAATAAAAGATATTCCCTCAACCACCGTGTCTCTCTAATATCCTGGGACCAGCATGGCTACAACAAAACTGCAAACAGTTATCAATACATTCATTTTGAAATGATTCTGATGACCAGTGGGCTACAGGCTCTCAGTAGAGACCTCACATGTCACCTTCTAGTGCAATGTTTGGTTAGATAGGCTTGTCTTATAGGTATCAAATGGGTTCTTGTAACAGGCTTTAAAGCCTCATCCTCTAGGCAGGTGATGATACTGCTGGAAAGTGGCTTTTGCTGATTCACTATTGCAGTGGGGAAATTTCCCTACTAGCCATAAGAAAAGTGGGAGTGGCTTTCCATGGGAGATTTAGAGTGTGGGCTGAGCTCTCCTCAAGGAGGAACCCCGGGTCATCCAAGTCTAAGGAAAAGACTTGGGTTACATTTTGTATTTCATTTTGATTTGAGTTCTTTTCACGTATAATGCCCAACTCCAGGAAGGGGCACAACTTGTGTGACCTGTGTTTGGAGTATAGTGGGGAAGCCACCTGCCCACAGCTCTTTTCTGTTTCATTAACAGGACATAAATTGTGGTGTTCTACCTAAAATTGGTTTGTTTGTTTGTTTTTGTTTTTAGGGCTGGATAGCAAATTTTACTAAACCAAGAACAATTCCAAATTCTCTGCTTCCAAGTACTACTGGACTGAGTCCCTATTTCAGCTTGGGCTGTTTGTCAGTTCGGAGGTTTTTTTATAGATTATCAAACATTTATGCTCAGGTAAGAAAATGCTGTGTGCAAATCAAGCCAACGCAATGGTTATGTAACAGTTTCCTAGAGCAGACTAGTCTCCTCCTCAGCAACAGTCATATTAACAGTGCAAAGTGGCTTTCGATATTGTTTGAAATATTATCCTTAAACAGATTAAAGCCTTGCCCTGACTAGGATTTCAAGGTGTGATGGTATCGCGTGTTACCAAACTCCATCTAACGAACACTTGCTAAAACTGTAGCCAAGACAAAGCAATTGTCCTTTAGTACAGGCTTTAAAGAGATTGAGTTGGTGGGAGGAGGAGAAGCCTAGGGTGTAGCTCAACCAGCTAAAATTGAGCTAAAGGTGTCGTCCCAGAGTGACGTCCCAGAGGTTCTCTGTCGACAAGACCTATGTGTGTTTTGGCTGCAGGTCAAGCTAAACAACATCAAGTTTGTCCTCCTTTGCAAATCTTAAATCTTGTATATGCAAACATGTCGGTTTCCATCAGTGCATAACTCAAAAACAGATGTACAGAATTTGCACAATTTCTTTGAGAAGAAATTACCATTGAGAACAAGCCTGGAAAATGCCACCCTACATGGAGACTGTATCACAGTCTGCATGGGCGCAGGGGTCCATTTGTGGGAATGAGACTTCACTGTTTCATTAACATAAACCAGGGGTTCTTCATGAACTGTTTAAAAACGGCTACTCTTCTTCAGTGCGTGAATCCGAGCAACTAGAGACCAGTCCGTGCGTGTCTGCTTTAAGGAATCGTAGGGGTTTTATTTTTGCTTTGGGAAGAAATCCTGGTATGAATCTATCCTAGAAGGTCAGGGTGTTGCAGAAAATTATCCCAGCTGGCCAGGAAATGTTGAGTTTTAGGGGTTTCCAGCTCACTCTGTTTCGGTGCTGCAAACTTTGTTTCAGACCTTGGCTCTTTGGATTCAACAGGGAAAGGCTATAAAACTCGCCGACGTTTTCAGCTGTGCTGTCTGGGCCAACTCATGTGCTAGTTAACCTCTTGCAGCTCAGCTGCAGTCAAGGGAATTACGATGACTTCCACAGGTCGAGGCTCTGGCACTGTGTCTTTGTTGCAGTCAAAGAACCACTCTCTGCCACCTGTATCACTTCAAGGACAGCTTCTATGGCGAGAATTCTTCTATACTGTGGCATCAGCAACACCAAACTTTACCAGAATGGCGGGGAACCCCATCTGCCTTCAGATCAACTGGTACCAGGATGCAGAGAGACTCTACAAGTGGAGAACGGTAAAGGGCTGAATTCCCATTTGAGGAGAACCGATACATTCATTTCTCTTGTTGGTTGTTTCTAGTTCACCACACTGTATGCCATAGGACTGTGAATAGCATTTTAAATAAAATCAAGCCTTTTGCATGAAAGATGCTCTATAAAATGTATCCCAAAGTACGATAGAGAGTTAAATACTTAGAAAGAGATTGACTTCATCAAGATTTATATTGACCAGAGAATTTAATATAGCCCATCCACCTTCTAGACACCTGAGCACAGGGCTGTAAGCCAGGGCACTCTGAGTCCTATTCCCGCTTGTTCTCCTGACGATCTGTAATACCCCAATGAGAAAATTCAGAAGGGTTGAAGGAGGAGGAGATCTAACAGTGTCTTCAATATCTGCCTCTAAAGGAGATGGGAATGAAGGACTCTGTTGGCATTCCTGCCCCAGGATCTTGCAGTAATATTTCACCTGTCATGGCCCCTGGGTATTTTTTATTTCCTGCTGACTCTTTGGAGAGTTTTCCAACCAACCAAATAAAACCCAGGGAGCCTAACCTGTATAAGAGGTACACAGTGATAATTATTAATACCTAGCTCTCATACACAAACAAAGAGCCTGCTCCAGGCCCCTCAGTGCAGTGTGTCCATATAACCATCATCAATATTTTTATCATTTGCATATTCTTATGGCCCTGATGACCTACTGCTACAGGTTTAACCTTCACAACCTTGCATCCTATGTTGTCTCTACAAAGTTCTGTCATTCCGATTTGGTAATGCATGACACCTGTTTAGCATAGGTGTCTATGATGATGCAAGTTGCTAGCCAGGGGAGAATCACAGAGCTGGGGGAAAAAAATTTGGACAAATAGTTTATTTGCTGAAACATGCAGTTTTTGGTTGACTCAAAACAAATTTGCTGAACAGTTTGGGCCCAAAAAACTTTTTGGGGAGGAGGAGGCCTGCTCCCTATAACTTCTGAGATGTGAGAGACCCCGGTTCAATTCCCCCCTCTCCCTGATGTGGAGAAGGGATTTGAGCATGGGTCTTCTACAACGCAAGTGAGTGCCCAAGCCACTGGTCTCGCAATCTCGCCTGCTGATGCTGTTCCAGTTTAAATAGTCATTGGAGTAGGTACATGAACTTGCGTTTCCCACATCCTAGGTGAGTGCCCTAACCACTAGGCTTTAAAGCAGCAGTTCTAAACCCACGGCCCAATTAAAGGCTGCCGAGCTGCACAGTGGGGTCCGGGTTCCCGGCTGCCCGGCACGGCAGGGTCCGGGCTGCCTGGCCCGGCGCAGTGGGATTGCGGGTTGGCAGCCAGTCCTGTGTGTCGGGGGTCCGGGGTTTCCACCCAGCCCCACACAGCGGATGTCCAGGGTCTGGGGCTGCCGCCCAGCTCCGCAGGGATCTGGGGTCAGCGTCAGGGCTACCGGCTGGCCCCATAGGGCCGGGGTCTGGGCTGCCACCTGGCTGCCCTGCCACGTGGCCCCACGCGGCGGGATCCAGGGTTGGGGCTGCTGCCCAGCCCCGCACAGCAGGGCCCAGGTCCCTGCTGCCCGGCCCCCCACCCAGGGCTCCACTCCTGGCCCCACTCTACTGGAGGGTGGGAGGCGCTGGGCATAGGAGAGGGGTCGGAGGGGTGCGCTGTGGTTCTCAACCTGTGTCCCAGGTAATACAAAATAGGTTGAGAACCACTGTTCTAAAATCATTCTCATTCTTGCTCCCTAGCCCATTGTGCCAGAATATCCCATACCTCAGTGGCAAAGTCACTCTTCAGTGTGAACAAGGGTTCCAGTTTGGGCCCCTAATGTCTGATCCTCTGACAAAGTGACTGGCCTATGTGTTTAAAGAAAGGGCAAGAGAGAAGAAGCAATTCCGGGGGTGAAGGAAGGAATGGAGTACTGTGTGTATTGAGCAGAAGGACTGAAATCTTCTGTGTGTGTTTTAGGCTCAGACAGGGTTTCCATGGATTGATGCTATCATGACTCAGCTTCATCAGGAAGGTTGGATTCACCACCTTGCTCGACATGCTGTTGCCTGCTTCCTGACTCGAGGAGACCTCTGGATCAGCTGGGAAGAGGGCATGAAGGTTCGCAATCTTTTCTTTCATTGTTCATTGGCCTGTTCCTAAAGGTGCTTTGAAGAAGCCCCTGTGAAATGCAAATCTTCTGGAGGATTTGAATTGTCGAGCAATCATAGAATTGTAGGACTGGAAGGGACCTCAAAAGGTCCTCTAGTCCAGTCCCCTGCACCCATGGCAATGTTTTATTATACTGTGCACCTGTGGTAAGGTTACATTAGAAGTATTATATTATTTTTAATACAATAGTGCTCAGAAGCCCCAGTTGAGATATGGGCTCTGTTGTGCTGGACGTTGTACAGATACATGCATCATAAGAGGCAGTTCCTGCCCTGCAGAGCTAATAATCTAAATAAACCAGACCAAGATTGGGAGGGGAAATAGAAGCACAAAGAGAAGTGACGGGCTGAGCGTCGCGCAGCAGACCCGTAGCAAATCCAGGAATAGAATCCAGGTCTCCTGAATCCTGACTCCAGGTATAAAAAGCCTAATTCCAGCTTACTAGCCACAAGAGAGAAAAACAAATACATATACACAAATGAGCATAGTCTCTACTGATGCCTCCTAACCAGCTCCTAGATCCCCGAGGTGCCTGCAGGTCTTTCCTTCACCATAGCCTGCCCAGGCTGACTTCCTTCTAGTAATATATCCCGATAGTTCCCAGCCTCCCCTGCTCTTAAAGGGATAGCACCCTATTCCAGTGTCTTTTTACCAGCCTTTGCCCTTTATTTCACAGACCTGCATTCTTTACTTCCTTGCCACATAAGTGTTCCCTGCCCCCAAGATGTGTTGTTTTCTCTCTCTTTAATTTCTCATGAAATACAGGTGTTTGAAGAGATGCTGTTAGATGCAGACTACAGCATCAATGCAGGAAACTGGATGTGGCTGTCAGCCAGCGCTTTCTTCCATCAGTACACACGCATTTTCTGCCCGGTCCGCTTTGGCAAACGCACAGATCCAGAAGGGCAATATATCCGGTAAGAAGACACACAATGTAACAACCCTTTTTTTTTTTTTTTTTATTATTCTAGGTACTTATTTGGCCCCTGCTACTGTAGTATCTGAGTACCTTGCAGTCTTAACTGTCATTATCCTGTAGTCCAGTGGGGTAGGCAGAGCTATTATCCATGTTTTACAGATGGGGCACGGAGTGACTAAGGGACTTGCCCAAGGTCACACAGGAAGCCTGTGGCAGAACAGAATATTGAGCGTGTGTCTCCCAAGTCCCAGGCCAGTGCCCTCACCACTGGGCCATCCTTCTTCTCTAGTGCAATAGTGTATCAATCCCTACCACGCTTTCTGGTCCTGTCCTTGTGCGTTTTAGCAGAAGCCTATACTGGGACTCAGGAAAGCTGGGTTCTATTCCTGCCTGTGCCACTGACCCGCTGGGTGACCTTGGGCAAGTCACTTTCCCTGCTCTGTGCCTCAGTTTCCCCATCTGTAAAATGGGGATCCCACTCCTGACCATCTTTGTAATACATTTTGAGAGTTACTGATGAAAAACACTGTAGATCATTAGTTTCCCATCATTGCTGATAAAGATATTGAGCAGGTTCATGTTTAAGTAATTGGCAATTTTACAATAGACTTCAGTAAGAACAGGATCAGGCGCTAACTAGATATTTGTGTCTAAGCATGCATTCTCCTTTTTCCCTTGCCACCTCCTGCTGTCTGATTCATTTAGATCTGTTCCAAACTCATACAGTTGAGAGAGACATGCCGAAATATCAACATGGTTGCTTAGCACTCTTGTGTGCCCTGCACTGAAATACTCAAGTATTTGCCTACAGAATTTATATATATATATATATATATTGTGTGTGTGTGTATATTTTTTTTTGTAGAAAATACCTCCCCGTGCTAATGAATTTTCCTTCCAAGTACATCTATGAGCCTTGGACAGCACCCGAAGAGGCACAGAAGCAGGCAGGATGTATTATAGGTAATTCTGAGGCCGTGTTAAGGATTTTGCTACTGATACAGGTTGTGTGAAATAAGTATTTGCTAGAGATGAAAACGTAACATTTTCAGCAAGGATTTGGCCCTTACATTCTGAAATGGATTAGCCTAACATTTTCGATTGTTTCAACTCTCAGATAAAGATGACTCGTTATTACAGACTGCAATATGCCTTCAGGGTCTGCTGTGCCTTAATATTGTCTCATGTGCCAAACCTAATGCAGTCCTTCAGGCTGTTGTCTGTCAGATGTACTCACATGGTCCCCATTGCTATAGTATCTGAATGCCTCGCAGTGTTCAACGTATCCTCCTCTGCTGCTGTGAGGTACAGTTGTGTTGTCATCCCTGTATTACAGATGGGGAGTTGAGGCCCAGAGAAACAAAGGACTCAGGCTCACTCAGGAGGTCTGTGGTGGAGCTGGGCACTGAATCTACTGCTCCCAAGTCCCAGGCTAACACCCTAACCACTAAGCCATCCTGCCTCTCAATATGCCGCTATACATCACCCTGTGGTGTCTTCACACTGGGATAAAGAGGGATGGGGCTGGAGGGTTGTGGGGATTTGTAATGGTTTTTGCACAGTGAAAACTTGCTGAGATTGTGGCTGCAAACCGGAAAGTCAATGGCAAAACTCCTATTCAATGGAGCCAGGATTTTGCTGTGTCTCTGTATTTGAGGCATGAACCGGGGAGAGGAAGGGTAGCCCGTGGTTAGGGCAGGTGCCTATGACATGGGAGACCTGGGTTTAAATCCCTGCTCTTCTACAGGTTTCCTCTGTGACCTTAGGGAACTCATTTAGCCTTTCTGTGCGTTCTGTATCTGAACAATGGGGAAAACAGAATTCCCTGCTTCACAGGGGTGTTGTGCAGATTCATACGTTACAGAGTGTGAAGCACTGAGATACTATAGAAACAGGGGCCATATAAGTACCTAAGATAGATACATGACAAGCAAGCCTGCTGTGGTTATGCCAGCAGCATCCTCTCTGAGTGCTTGAGTAAGAAAGCCACAGACAAAAGCATAACTGATTTCTATCACTGAACAGTTCAGCTATGTCAAATTTCAACAAGGAACAGCTGTTACTTGTCCACTCTCTCTCTCTCTGATTTTAAGTGTCCCCTCTCCTATTGATAGACGTGGCTATAATGCCAGGCGCTACACTCGGAGCTTTCCTAAGCAAGCCACCGGGCCAAAGAATGCTAAAACTGATGCTGAGAACAAAGAAACTCAGAGGATCAAGCTTCCAAATCTCACTTCTGCCTCAAGGGCCTTTCTTGGTTGCTCCTCCAGCAGAGGGGCCATTCAATACAGCATGAGACCTATGGAGAGATCACGGCTGCTACCTTAATCCCAGTAACATCCTGCCCAGACGTAGTTCTTCCAGGGCCACTAGCACAACCAGCAGCACCAGTGGCCTAGTTGTCTGCAGCCTAAAGTACCAACACCTCCGACATGGACCTGCTGCAAGAGGGAAGGGTTTATCTGCACCCTCTCTCCCACCCCTAGCAGACATGCACTGGAGCAGCTGTAATTTGTCCCTCTCTATATATGCGCCTAATAGCAGCACGATATCTTGGCTGGGATTTCAAAGAGTGTAAGAGAATTAGTAGTAATTGCACTGAGGTAGTACCTAGAGACCCAATTATTGATCAGGACCCCAATTCATAGATTCCAAGGCCAGAAGGGACCATTGGGATCATCTAGTCTGACCCCCGGCATAGCACAGGCCAGAGACCTGCCCCCCAAATAATCCCTAGAGCCGATCTTTCAAAGAAATATCCAATCTTGATTTTAAATTGTGAACGACGGAGAATCCACCACAACCCTTGTTCCAATTGTTAATTACTCTCCCTGTTAAAATGTACGCCTTATTTCCAGTCTGAATTTGTCTAGCTTCAACTTCCAGCCATCGGATTGTGTTAGACCTTTCTCCGCTAGACTGAGGAGTCCATTATTAAATATTTGTTCCCTGTGTAAGTACCTATAGACTGAAATCAAGTCAACCCATACTCTTCTTGTTGTTAAGCTAAATACCTAGACTCCAGAAGCTCAGTCAGTAATCCTTTAATCTCTCTCATGGCTCTCATGGCTCTTTGTTGACTCTTCTCCAATTTATCAACATCCTTCTTGCAGCATGGACCCCAGAACTGGACACAATATTCAAGTAGTGGCTGCAACTCTGCCAGTGTGCTAGGCGCTGTACAAAAACAGAAGAAAAAGATGCTCTCTGCCCAAAAGGTGCCCAAATACCAATACTGTTTCCATTAGGCAGGTTTTGCCAGGCTAAAAATTCAAAATATATTTTAAAATAACTATTCTAATTAACTCAACTTCTTGGCTGGTTTCCATCCAGGGAGATCATTCTGTGAAGTGATACTCAGTCTTTGATAGAGCATCAAAAAAGCTACTGCTTGGCAAAAGGCCATCTTGATCAACTTTACTGACTTAACAAGAGCATTCAATGGTGACCACAGACAGACCCTGTGGAATATTGCTAGAAGCTATGGGATACCAGACAAAGCTGATCCACATAATAAGGAGTTTATATGAAGTCAATTCATGGTAAGATTGGATATAGCCCTGGGTGAGTGGTTCAGTATTGTGACAGGAGTTAGACAAGCGTGTGTTATCACTACTCCATTCGCAATAGACTGGGTGATGAAACAGGCAACAAAAGGCATTATGGATGGTGTAAGATGGTTAGCAGAGATGAGTGACACAACCTTGACTTTGCCGATGACATTGCTTTACTAAGCATGACGTGGACCAGAATGCTTGCCCTTACATCAGAGTTAGAACAGGAAGCAGCAAAAGTTGGATTGAAAGTAGATGCGGAGAAAACCAAGATTATGAAGGAAGTAAGCTGGACAACAGATGCAAGGCTGTAGGTGGATGGAAAATAAATTGAACAGGTAGAAGAGTTCTGCTATCTGGGGAGTGTGATGACATTTGAAGGTGGCTGTGATACAGATATTCATATGAGCCTAGGAAAAGCAAACACCACTTCTGGAAGAATGAACATCTGGTCAAACAGAGGTTTCTATGCCAAAGTAAAGATTAGATTATACCATGCAGTTGTACTAAGCGTGCTGCTGTATGGAGTAGAGAATTGGACAATGACAGTGGCTAACAAAAAGAGATTGGGGGCTGCCGATTACAGATGGCTGAGCATGATATTACACATTTCATAGAAAGACAAAATAACAAATATAAGAGCAAAGGTGTGGACAGAACAGGACATATTAGAAAATACCCTCAAAGAAAGAAGGTTCAGGTGGTTAGGACATATACACCATATGGAAGACGGGAGGCGTACTAAGCAAGCATTGAATTAGGTACCCACAGGAGAAAAAAGCAAAGTAAGCCAAGAAAGAGCTTGCAGAAGACAGTGACGGAGGATATTGAATGTGCTGGCATCACCTGGGAGGAAGTACCACAACTAGCAAGCAACCATAGTCAGTGCAGGAACTGGACTTTCCGATGTGTCAGAGACACGGGGGGAACTAAGATCTAGGTGTGACGGTTCTTGTGGTGCACAGGACTATGAGTCACCTTGTTACACCTCTGCCTCCAGCATAAAGGAGACTTAATCATAGAATATCAGGGTTGGAAGGGACCTCAGGAGGTCATCTAGTCCAACCCCCTGCTCAAAAGCAGGACCCATCCCCAATTAAATCATCCCAGCCAGGGCTTTGTCAAGCCTGACCTTAAAAACTTCTAAGGAAGGAGATTCCACCACCTCCCTAGGCAACGCATTCCAGTGTTTCACCACCCTCCTAGTGAAAAAGTTTTTCCTAATATCCAACCTAAACCTCCCCCACTGCAACTTGAGACCATTACTCCTTGTCCTGTCCTCTTCCACCACTGAGAATAGTCTAGAACCATCCTCTCTGGAACTACCTCTCAGGTAGTTGAAAGCAGCTATCAAATCCCCCCTCATTCTTCTCTTCTGCAGACTAAACAATCCAGTTCCCTCAGCCTCTCCTCATAACTCATGTGTTCCAGCTTAACTGGGTGTCAGCTCCCTGACATCACCAGCCTGTTCGCCAGCTAACCACGCTCTTCTGGGCAATGCCAGCCCTGACTTTGCCTTGCAGGTTAACAACAGGTGCCTCCCAGTCTTCAGGCCCCTTTGACACGATCCCCTATAGAGTCTTGCCCCTTATCCACAGAACACTCAGAGAATCACCAGGTCTGCTGTCCCCAAGGGGACAGTGCACAAGCCAGCTTGTGTGATTCAATGCAGGATCAGCACCTGGCTCAATATCACAGCACTGAGATACACTGATAGTGAAAACAAGGATACATGTATTACCAAAGACTCAAGATTCAAGACATAGTGAGTAAGGATAATGGAAACAAAAAGTTATGTATAAAACAAAATCATCACATGCTTTCTAGAGACTAAACTTACCAGGCTAACCTGTCTAAAAATGTTTACCTCCCACCCAAAAAACTAACATCATGGGGGCAGCATTTCAGTGGAAGTTAGTTGTGATCCCATTTTCACTAATGCAAACATTCTGCCCATTTACTTCCTAGATGTAGGATAATGAGGTGTCTTTTTTGTTTCCCAGATAAAGTCCAGTGAAGCCTTGATATGTATCTCTAGATAATCCTCTGCTGTGTTTCTCGACCTGTTAGTTCCTTTCTGAAATTCTTACAATCCTTCATCTGCATTCAGCTTAAACAGGTGGTGGGAGACCCATTGTGAGTGAGACAATACTTCACGTACATTTCAACAGAGAAACCAGTGAATAAACATCCCTTGTCTGTCAGAAGACCTGTTTGTCAACTCTGCCTTAATACAGACTTTAAAACATATTTTCAGTATATATATATATAGACTCCTGATAGAGTATCCTTATGTAGTATCCTCATCTTTACCCCAGCTTTCATTTAAGACCTCACACAACATTCATTGGTGAACTAGAATGTACATACTGAGAATCAGGATATTTCTGTAACCCCCCTTGCCACTTGGCATCAGAAGCTCTTGGGTCCCACTAAGGTCTTCTTATTTCTGGTTATCTTATTATCTCACCCTCATGCAGAGACTAGCAGAAAACGCAGACTGAAGTGGTGCATACACCCTCGGTACAGGGGGGAATTTAATTCCCAGCTTTCCCGGGCTTACTATTTGGTATTCAGTTGAAGAGTAAAAAATAAAAAGGCCTGAATACTTTAATTTCTGGTGCAAATCCTTTTGAAAAGATAGTGTTTAAATAAATCACATTTGTAGAAATGGCTGCCGATATTTTCTGTCAGGTCAAGATTACCCACTCCCTATGGTAAACCACAAGGAAGCCAGTGACCGTAATCTGCAGCTCATGAAACAGGTCAGAGAAGAACAGTATGGAACAGCACAGCTCACAAGAGGTAAGATAAGCTAAGAGACTGCACATTCAGTGTAATTGCCATACAAGTACTAGCCGTGGCTGTGAATTAAAGTGTGCTCTTTCAGTGTGATTGGAATTGTGCAGATAACTGATCATTAGAGCTCTGCACAGATACAAAAAAGTGGATCTGCAGTTGCAACAATTAGCTTGTATCAGACCATGATCTGCACTCCACATTTTATATATATCCATATCGGCACCAGCACCCTATCTCACTGTTAGAGCCCTGCACGGATACAAAAATTTGGATCTGCATCCGATGCACAATCCGCAAAGAGGGTAAACAATACAACCACATCCGCAGATGCAGATATCTGCAGATATAAGGCGGATATATGCAGATTTGCAGGGCTCTACTGATAATAAAACGCGCTCTTAGCCACAGTGGTATTGTTCAATCCCAGCTGGTGTTAACTCATCTTAAGAAAGAGTTTTAATAATTATTATTATAATAAGTTACTCTTTCTTTGAAATGCTAGATGTGTACCAGTTGTTTTTAATAATGTGAACATTATAATATGCATATAGTAATATTATGGATTTTACTTCATCTCTCGATTTGTAAGACATTTCAGAGAGATTTGCAAATGGGTTTATAAATCTGCACCTGGCCGTGTACTCTAAACCTACCTTTGTGCTTTCAGTACTCGATTCAGCAAGGTGCACTTAATGCCCTTCCACACCTGCTCAGAAGGACACAATGAATTATAGATTGTCATAGTTTGGGGCAAACGCACCTGTATTCCCACTCTGTGGTCCAGCCAGGTCACCCACTCTTAGGCTTCTGGATCCCCAGCCAATACCTCTCTTGGGCGGAGACACGTGCCGCTCTCCTTCTGACCTGGGTATTTCCAGGCTGCACAGCTCCCAGCCTACACTGTGAATTCCCCAGCAAAGTCAGACTGCCTAAGCAGGCCTGCTTTACTTCTCTCCTCAGAGACTATAAACAGTGTAATTATCCACAGTTAACTTACAGCACAGCTCTTTCTGCTAAAGCATTATAGAGAAAACACATTAAAAACAGTAAAAGAAGTCACACCCATTCTAACAGCTTACCAGAGATCACACCAACAAGGGCTCTGGCAGGTGATCAGTCCTTCAAACCCCACCAAGGGGTTTTCTGCAGTCACAAGTTAGTAACCATCTTGGCTCAGAACAAGAACCTTCATGAGTAGGTCAAGTCCTTCCAACCCTTCCCCAGAAGAATTGGGGCCTCCTTTGGAAAAGATGGTCCTGTCCATTTGCTAGGTCAGAAAACAGCCCCTGAGTCAGTTTAAACTCAGGCTATTTATCCAAAAGTCCTTTCTTTGTCTGCTGGTCTCTAGAAAATCCAGTTTGAGCCAGTATGTGCAGCTTCTTGATCAGGTGGTACGTCTCTAGAGGTTTTACAACCTGAGTGAATTTTCCTAATCACCTCCCACTGTTCTGAATTCCTGTCCAGGCTGTGCATACCATCCCCCATGGAATCACATACAATCCCTAGCCCACAATGATACATAAACTTAATATAGTAAGATCTCCCAAAGATATAGGAAATTGCTATATCTGTCACACAGGTGATACACATAAAATAATCCTGTATGTATCCACCCATATGCCCCTTACACCGAACTACAATCTCACCAGTCAGTATACGTCATCTGTACATCCAATATAGATTACATACCACCAATTACCTACTGTAAATACTGATCTACAAATCTGGTCACCAGTGGACCAAATGATCACCTCTGTATAAAATGTCTTTTAACAATGAGGAATGTGGAGTTCTCATTTCTTCTCTATCCATTGCACATATACACAGTCACACAAATGCACAAAAAAATTGTGCCCAAAGAAATGGGGGGATAGGGGGGAATGGGTTCATTTATGCTGTCATTGAAAGGATTACAACTTTGTGGGAGTGAATGGAAACTGAAGAAAGTTCTGTATGTGCACAGGCATTGAAAGGGTTACGTTTGCTGAGGAATGTAAAAACGAAATGGTTAGCTCGCAGAAACTGAGTGTTCACAAGGGTTAATCAGAACCATCCAGATTTTCAGAGGTGGTATATTAAGTATCCATTTTGTTTTGGGAAGAACAAAGGAGCATGGTGTACTTTTAATATGGGATTTAGTTAGACTCCTTGGCTTATTACACTCTAAAGAGACCTTGCGTTCATAAAAAATTGTGGACTGAAACATCTGGAGTATGACTGAGCAGATTCCTTCCCAAAGGTCATGGATTTTGGATGATATAGATCGATATAGACATGGATATAGAATGAAAAAGATACAGGGCTCACATTTTACATTTCTTGCATAAATTTACTGTAATCTTGTGAAAAATGCTAGATGATGTCAGAATGAAATGCTTCTGTCAAATATCAGCCTGAGTTTGTTTGAAATCATAACTTACTGGGCTCTTTCTAGAACCCGTGCCTATTCCTGAGTGTGTGTCATATTGATGTCAAGGTCTTATTGTTAGTTGTTAGTGTTAAACCTAATAGAATTGCTAAGTACAACTGCTTTTAAAGTCATGTGTTTCAAGGGGCTGCAGTGAAACTAAGGAGCCTTTATTGAAAGATGCTGAACATGAAGACTGTACAGTTATAAAACTCTGTTCAGTGTTTTTGTTTCAGATCATTAAGATATCATATTTATTCTAGGTAGATTAAACTTTTCCCTCCCATGCCAGGTTTACTAGGGAATTAATTTTGTATTTCTGTGGAAATCTATAAATTTCCTTGTTTAAATTTATGTTTGGCATATAATTTGTGCCATAGGCCTACTCTTCCCTTAATACAAAGTGAGATTTTACCAAAGTAGAAATGTGTCCCATCTTGCTGAATGGTAAATTAGGAAGTCTGAATTTGTCAATTTGAAGCCAAGAGGTAAAAGAATTTCTCTTAGCTCAGAGATATTCCAGCTGAGCCATCAGAAAGACAGTTTTATCTTAGGTATCTTAAATTGTGGCTCTGGTCTGAAAATTCACTTCAAAAATGGCCTCCTCTTACTCAGCTGATCAGCTTTTTGTGTATATCAGTGCCTCTGAGTAGGTTATTCCAAGCTAATGGCTAGAGGGGGCTCGGCAACCGTTTATGCAACCTCAACAAGTGAGGAGGACTGAAGATCTGCCATTTGCCTTCTGGTGTGCCCCCTCCAGAGCTGAGCTCTGTGCCCCACAAATATTGGGCATCCCCCAGAAACCTGTCAGACATTGTACTAGATTAGATGTTCCATTGAATTGATCCAGTATGACTGCAGGTGGGATACAGGACTGTATATATAGCATTGATCTGATCCAATGTGGTAAATCACCTTTGAGCTAACCACACGTGAAGATTTTAGCCTAGAGAAAACTTTTGAGAAAGTTATGAAAAAGATGGTTACAGAAAAGCCTTTGACAGAGTCGAGTGGAATTGCTGTCTTACAACACTAAATATATTAATCTTTTCTCTTCTTTGCTAAAATGGATTAACTCCATATATAACGAATCAAGGAGTCGGAGCAGGCATTGTATAGGCATGTCTGAGAGATCTTCTGAAGCCCCTTGTGCCCCACACCATTCAGATTCAAGAAATAGGTGAACATTGTCAATCAAATTAGTCTAATTCCTTCCTGCAACTCAAGCTTCAATTTTTTCTTCCTAATAATTTTTTTCTTAATACTATAACTACGGGATTTATGTTCATAGATCAGCATGTACCACGCTTAACTAATGAGACTCAGTGAAAGATGTTCAGCTGATGTAAATCTGCATAGCTTCTTTGAAATGGAGCTCCCTTGATTGACATCTGCTAAGGATCTGACCTAAAATATTTTGAGAAATGCACCTGATGTAAGTAAGTGTGGTGCTTGTGCTCCAAATGTGATATATTGGATAAAGAAATCTGAACCACAAAAATTATCTGGGAAACTTCTCTGGGTACTCCTTTCAGTTGAGCTGTACATGGGCATGGAGGTCTGCTTGCGCAGATCCAGGTGCAGGATCAGGGCCTTTAAAGAACAACATTTGCTCAATTTCTTTTAAGGTCTGATAAAAAAACATGACTCTAGAAACAAATGTATATCAAAGGGAATCAAATGTTGTTGGAGATCTTACACAATAAACCTGAGACTGCTCCGCGTATGGAGGTGTGTAAAGCTGTAAGACAGCTGATAAAGTATAAATAGCTAGTGAATGAACAATTGGAACAGGGAAATAAAAGTTTTTGATCAAAGGTATCTCTCCTGGGTCATCTTTTCGGAAGATGATTCCACACAGAAGTTTCTCCATATTCTTTTTTCTTTGGTAATTGTATGTATCCCATGGTAATGGAAATCTGAAAGGTTCTGTCAGTACCTGAATATATTTGAGAAATTTCACAGAGAACTGGTTTATAGGCTGTGAAACAAGATCTTTTAAAAAGCCCTCTCTCTCCCCTATCCCTCCTGCCATACACACAAACAAAAAAACCCTCTAGAAGTCATTGGCTAAATACAGTGGTGTGAAATAGGTGGCTTCTTTCATATTATTTCACCTGGGCCAAATTCCACATTCCTTGGTCATGTTAAGTAGTACTTACTCAGAAGACTTGTCCCGTTAAGCTCAGTGGCAGTGAATAGTATTCATTCCAACTAAGGGTGGCAGAGTGGGTTTCAAAGTGCATACAATGAAAGGAGGTGTCTCTTTGATTCCATTGCTGACAAAGTAGGGAGAGAAAGGGCTATGAATGACAGCCTGAAATTACAGCTTCCTTGATTCTGCTGCTTCTCTGGAGAATATGGATGAAAACCCAACTAGTCTGGATTAGCCTGGACTCACAGAAAGTTTTATTATCCACTGTGCCACCCAAGGCACCACTCAAGGCTCATGTAAGCCCTTTAAATACAATTTAAGTGATGGGACCAGGTCTTGTGCTGGCCCCTCTGCACAAGGGGAATCCCACCCAGAAATACAGCTACAACAGTATCATTAGATCTAAGTGTCCTCCAGTGATCAGTGTAAATATTCCATAATCAAATATACAGTGATTGATAGTTCTAAAAAAGAAAAGGAGTACTTGTGGCACCTTAGAGACTAAGCATCTACTTATTCATTTGTATGTTCAGATGGAACAAATCATTCCCATTCCTGCGCATTACCATGCCAAGATGAATGTATATTAGCTGTAAGCTCCTCACAGTCAGAATTATACATTCACCAGTTAATCCCCCCACCAACCCTCTGATGTAGGCAAGTATTATTATCCCTGTTACACAGATAGAAATGGCTTGTCAGTGTCAGAGCCAGCAGTGAAACTGCAGAGTTCCTGGCTTCCAGATCATTCATATTGCCTGCAAAGACGTTTGTACCTGAGCGCTGTGATTTCACCTACGAGCAATCATCAGTGAACATCACATCTGATAGAGCCATAGGAATAATAATAATACCTAGCTCTTATATAGCACTTTACATAAATTTCAAAGCACTTTGCAAAGGAGATCAGTATCATTATCCCCATTTTACAGATGGGGAAACTGAGGCACAGAGCAGGGGAAGCAGACCTTCCAACAATCCCAGGTCTTTCCCGCTTTGACCCCCAAAATTCTCCATCCCAGCTGAAGTGAACATTTCCCCCATTCAAGGCTGCTGGCGGGAATGACAGTTTGCCTTAGGACCCCAAATTAAGTGGCATTGTGACCTGGCACATAGGGTTGCAGCGCCACTCAGGTTTGGTCCAGCTGTCCCTCTGTCTCCATCTACAGAGGGGCAGACGGGCCAAGCCTGAGTGGTGCTGTGTCCTGCTTTAGCCACTTGAAATTTGCGGCGGTGTGGGGAAGTGACTTGCCCAAGGTCCCCCTGCAAGTCAGTGGCAGAGCTGGAAATAAAACCCAGGTCTCTTGAGTCCCAGTCCAGTGCTCTACCCACAAAGCTGCTTTTGTGCCGTGGTTTTATGCTTTTCCTTTTTCTCCCCCTCCCTAGATGACATGGATGATCCAATGGAAATGGGGCTAAAGCATGAACTCTCTGAAGAAAATCCAAAGAAAGGAAAACGTGCCCGGAATAGAGAACAGACATAGATTCTGTAAGGACTTACCAAGATCTGCAGAATGGCAAAGAGAAGATCCAGACTTTCGTTGGGGGAAATCATGTAAATAGTTAGTGATTGTACTGGATGAATGGCTTGTACTACAATTAAGCACAGTTCGGAACATTTAGTGTGCACCGGCACGTTCTACACGGACCAACTAATGCGTAATGCAGTGCACTTTAAAAATCCCACTCCCACCCCAGCGTTTACATTACTGCTCTGTGTAGACCAGCCCTAAAACTGCACTTGGTTGCATGTGCCAACCCTACCTGTCGGCTCACAGTGCTTGATTCAGCAATGTGTACTAATGTGCAAGTGGAAATGTTAAGCACGCATGCAGTCCCATTGGTTTCAATACGACTACCCGGGTACTTAAAGTTAGACGTGTGCTAAATACCTTGTGAAACGGGGGCTGCCACCCAGTTTCCTAAAGCAGCACTATGTGCCATCACAGTAAGTTCCTGCAAAAATATGGGATAGTGATTTTTTTAAAACTGAATGCAAGCAAAAAGTCACTTTAAATTGAAACACTATGTTTGTGATATTTCAAAGAGAAATAGCCCATTGTCTTGTTGGGGGTTTTATTTGGGGAGGAGGTTGGTAGTTTTGTTTTAAATAGATTTTTGTTGTTGTTGTTGTTGAATTTTCTGACTTATGCAAAGTGGAGTCCACAGAACAATCCACCATCATGCATGGTGTCCTCCTGTGTCTCTGGGACGCTCCTTGAGGGACTGGTGGGAAGGGCAACTCCAGCGGCAATCTGGCATCTCCAAGTTCCTTCACCCCAAAGAGCCCATGAACCTAGTATGGAAATGGCATGAATCATGACAATCAATGAGCCATGGAGAGGTCAGACATTTCTGGTGATAATGCTGGATCATCCAGTGGCCTTTGACAATGCTCATGACAAGATGTTGCTGGCACATCTGCAGGACCTGGCAGGAATGAATAAAATCCCATAGCTACACAGGCCTGAAGGGGATCAGTCCTGTCACCTGTGCTGTACAAAGTCTGCGTGAAGCTGCTGGGAGAAGAGATGGCAAGCGGATGATATTCAGCTCTATGGTTCTTCATCAGACACAGTAGTTGCCAGGGGACCTGGATGAAAGCCAGTTCTCTAAAGCTTATGTGGGAGAAGATGGAGGTGCTGCTCATTAGCAAGGGAAAGTATTTTTGAGAGGAAGCACTGGTGCAATTTGTTACTGCTCCCATCTGCTCAGATGTGGTCAACACCCACCGTCTTGGGGTTTAGACTCCTCACTGCTCCTAGCCGTACGAATTGCATTAGTGTCCAGAAAACCTTTGCCAACTGCAGGTGGAAATGGGGGCTTGGATGTGGATCTTGCCTCATTATAGTCAAGTTGTCGTGGGGCGACGACTCACTGGTGCAGCGCCTCCTGTTGGTCGTCCTGGGAATCAGCCCTTCCAGCCAGGAGTGCCCTCTGCAGCCAGTGTCTTGCCTGCCGCTGGCCCCCGTGTCCCTCCAGGACCCCGGTGCCCTCCTCATCCGGGTTCTGCCCCAGCAGTAACCCACAATCCGACTCTTCCCACCCAGGGGATCCCCCAACCCTCTACCCCCACCTTGCCTCAGTGGCCACTGCCAGTCACCATCTAGCCCCCGCTCCCTGGGGCAGACTGCAGTCTATGAACCACTCATCATCGGCAAGGGGGTTGGACCAGCTGCCTCTGCCTATCTCTGGGCTGCCCCTCTGCAGCCCCAGGACCCTTTCATAGGCCTTTCACTAGGCCTTCAGCCTGGGGCTTTGCTAGGCTGGAGCTCCTCAGCTCCCTCTGCCTTTCCCCAGCACGGCTCCACCCTAGGTACCCTTCTTAGCTTCCCAGGCAGCCAGGTCCTTCTCTCTCTAGGAAGTTAGAGAGAGTGTCTGTCTTCACTTTTGGCCCACAGCCCTCTTATAAGGGCCAGGTGGACGCTGATTAAGCTGGCCACAGAGCTGCTTTCCCAATCAGCCTGCTTTTCCCATTCACATCCCTCTCCTGGGCTGCTTTAACCCCATCAGGGCAGGAGTGGGGTAGTCACCTCGCTACACAAGGTGTCAGTCATTACTCACAAGCCCCATATGGCCTGGACCTAAATCTCACTATCTAAAAGAGCACCTTTCCCTCTCTGACCTATGTTTATCAAGAGCACTGTAACTAACTGTCTTAAAGGTGACACTTGGGATGGCCAGAGGTAGGACCTTTAGTAGCAGTTCAATACCTCTGAAATTCATTACCACCAGACAATGTATTGTTATGCCAACAGGTGCTGATCTCATACACATTAAATCATTAACGTACAGATGCTCCCTGGGTTACGCAAGACCCGACTTACGCAAATACGCACTTACGGAAAAAGTTCCATAAACCAGAAATAGGATTTTTGAGTTGTGGAAATTTTTGCGTAATGTATGAGTATATGTTTCCGACTTACGCAAGGCTTTCCAGAACAGAATGATTGCGTAAGTCAGGGGGCGTCTGTATAGGCACCCAGGATGAAACTCTCCGTAGAAAGAGTTAAAATTAACCATCTAGTCATTGTACCCAAGCAGCTAGTAAGGGGATTGTGTGGGTTAAAACACTCTCTTGTGGGCAATTTAACACTTTCTGAAGTTCCTTTGTATTGTAAAGCAGTTGCACAGAAGGAGGGTTGAAGCCCACACTCACCTTTTGAGGCTATGTAGTGCTAGGTTAGCAGGTTTAGACATGGAGGTTCCCAGGTAAAGCCCAGAAGCTGAAGTAGGAGCAAGGAACAATGCGTTGAGCACAAAGATTCCAAAAGAAATGGAGACCCGAGACATCTGCTTCCTGGTCACAAAGCAGTGGTGTTTTAGCTGAAGTTTCTGCAGGAGGCAGTTACCCTTCTAGAGTTTGTGATCACTTGTTCAAGGGAACAGGACTTGGGAACAGGTTGTAAATAAACAAAATCCATATCACCAATTTCTTCTCCGGGGGAACCTGACCTAAAAGACTCTGAAATCTGCTACTGCTTGGGAAAAGGCCAACAAAAATTAAATGTAAACTTGGCCACACATCCCGCTGTGCAGGCTTCCCACTTATTAAGAGTTATGATATCCTGAGCACATAGCCAACTGATCAGCCTTTCTCTGTTCTCTTGAGTGTGATGTTTGACTGTTCATATTTGGCAATGGTAGTGACTGGATTTAAGCTATGCAAAGCGCACTCAGCTACCAATGTGATGAGTGCCTTAAATACAAAATAATTCACCATATTGTCTGATGTTTTGTTTGTTTTATACACAAAGAAAGCCAACCTTGTGCTTTCAGGCTGAATAACATTTATTATAGCCCCTGCTATCTTTTTTCTATGCAGCTTATCTTTGCAAAGGTCTGTGTTTACATTGGGGCCAAAGTTGCCTATATTGGACACTTGCCGTCTTACTTATTGTCTTCTGCAGTTCCTTCCCCAACTGCATCCAAGCTTTTAGGGCCCTTTTACTCTGCTCTGCTAATTTTACGTGGTGTAAATGGGCCAGAGCAAGAGTGAAGATCTCACCCTTAAATTCTAAATGACATCATGTAATAAAGGGTGACCCAGGAATGTTAATAAGAGATTGTACTGACTCCCCTTAGGCTGACCACAGGTTTGAACCTGGGCCCTTCGCTGCTGAAAGCACAAACATCACTGCTTGAGCTAACGGAATAAATTCACTAGCTGTTAAACAGTATCAGATTCATAAACCTGTATTTGTGGACCAGCCCCTGGAGGGAGACAAAGGCAGTTTCTTTCCTAGGGTGAGTTACATGCTTCCTCCATCTGGTGAAGCTCATCCTGAGCATATGGGGTCTACTGGAGTTGAAGCCCTGCATAGGGCAACATTTTTGTAACTAACTGTCACAGAGTCCCTGGGTGATGCTCCGGAACTGCTCCCCATGAAGCCAGTCAGGACTCTGGGGAAGTCTCCTTTCTGTGAGCAGCCTGTCTTCGGGACACAAAGCTCACACAGCTTCCACCTTCCTGGGTCTGACCTCGGAGCATTCAGCATCCTCTACCCCTCCGTGCGCTTCCCACAGCGAGTCCGCTCAGGCAGGGCTCCTGGGAATGCCAGAGGGTCCTGCACCCCAACTTCGCAGTCAGACGTGACTCTCAGCCAGCCAGTAAAACAGAGGTTTATTAGACGACAGGAACATGGTCTAAAACTGAGCTTGTAGGTGCAGAGAACCGGATCCCTCAGCTGGGTCCATTTTGGGGGGCAGTGAGCCAGACAACCACGTCTGCCCTTCACTCCATGTCTCCAGCCAGCCCCAAACTGAAACTCCCTCCAGCCCCTCCTCCTCTGGGCTTTGTCCCTTTCCCGGGCCAGGAGGTCACCTGATTCCTTTGTTCTCCAACCCCTTTAGCTCTCACCTCGCAGGGGGGAAGGGCCAGGCCATCAGTTGCCAGGAAACAGGGTGTTCGCCATTCTCTGTGTCCAGACCCCTGCACACACTTGCCCTCTATGGCTCTGCAATGATCATACACCCTTACCCCACCACCTAGATACTTAAGAACTGCCTAGGGGAAACTGAGGCACCTCCACACTATTCAGAGGAAACATTAAGAACAGTCCCACTTCATCACACTAACCCTGCTTGGATTGATAATAAGGTTCAAACCCAAGACCTTCAATGGTAGAAACTTCACAGCTTGAGCTAAAGGACGAAGCGTAAAATTTTCAAAAATCACTGAGTGAGTTAGGAGTCTAAGCCCCAGAGACTTTCAATAAAACTTACCCTCCTAAGTACTTAAGTCACTTTTGAAAATAGGACTTAGGAGCCTAGTCACTTAGCCATTTTGAAAATTTTATATGTAATCCATTAGCTGGACACATTAGCAGACTTATAAATGTCTCATGTGGACCAGCCGCTAGAAGGAGACAAAGGATTGCAAATTCTAATTTGGATTACAGAACCACCACTCTTTTTCAGTTTTTTCACTGTGTAATAGATTTTGTGGTTGTCAATCCTACAGATGAAGTTGCAACTTTTGCCCAGTTACAAACATCTCACTCACTCAGAAATTTTTCTTTGGTTTTGGAAATTTCTATACTTGGTGTCAGCAAAAAGATTTTTGTAAAGTTACATGAAAATTCATTCAGCTGTTAGTAAACCAAGCAGATAACCACTGTTTCATCACCATTGAAGCAGGCCCTAAATCTTTCCATTGACATTGTAATCTGTTAGATAAGGCCTGAGTTTGGTCTTTCGTGGGTTTGTTTGCATGGAGTTAACTCAAATTTGGCTACACTTTAAAACTTCAAACTTCATATTGTTTGCCGCTAGAGTTCAAAATGCAGAATTTTGGGGAAAAAATAGTTCTAAGTCATTGAAAATAGGGTTCTGGCATGTATAATACAAAGTGTCACTGTTAGAAGTTGCATAATCAGCTGTAGAACTACTAAAGAATTTAGTTAGACACAATTTCAGCACTCCAGTAGATTGTCTGCAATCTATATTGTCATGGAGAAGACTTATCCACAGAGTTTGAGTGGAGCTTATAGTTGGACATCATGGAGTAGATAATGTTCAGTGTGTAGTAAATCTAGTACTTTCAACCCAATTAGAATACAAACCTTATTTACTGTTATCTCTGGATGCAAAGAAGGCCTTTGACCGGGTAGAGTGGCAATATTTGTTTTGGCTCATT